GTTGCGAAGATTAGCTCGCCCATGTGACGCATTAATTCAAGTACAACTAGCATCTGTAAGGAGCAATGTCTGGGCTAGAAAAATAATGGGGCCCTCACTCGGTCACTAATTTTTTCATAACGATGTGTGCGTCATTCTAATAACGATATTCTGCAAGGAGAACTGTCAATGGAGATCCACTTTGTTTGGTCAAAGCTTTTGGAGTTTTTTTTGGAGTCTGCTGCAGCCAGCTGTGCCATAAAAAACTGACTGTAGGAGCTTCAGCTGGACAAAATTCACAAAAAATGTGACGCAGCTGGTATATAGGGCACATATACCCACCCCCAGCAAAAACTATTTTCTCGCCAGTTCAGGCCTGGTACCATTTGAAGGCAGACTCTGCACTCACCTCCGTGCGTCCTGGTCCATGTCGTGCGCGAGGCGAATGGGTCCGCGGCTGCATAAGCCTGGCACTTTCCCCGCTCAAAAGTGCTCGAGAACGAGGTGGGAGGGCACTGATACCCAAGTGCCATGTCTACACTTCGTCCGCGCCGCGCACGGCCAGCACGCCAACTACAGGGGGGGGGGGCAAAAAAAGTCACTTTTCTTCATTGACTTTCGTGGCGCTATAAGTTACACTTTATAAATTCTAATCGGACATTTCTACCACCATATTAAAGAGCATATTAAATACTATTATAAAACTCCGCCACAGCCTTCTGGACGAGCGCCATCGAGAGATTCTGGCACGCGACCGCGATGTGGTGCCTGAGATCAGCGAGATAGTCGATTTCTCCGCCACCGTAGACCACCCTATTGAACTCCGCCCGAACCGGGTAAAAGGGATTCAGGTCAGGTGACCTACTTGGATATTCCATCTTCTTTAGGTACTCAGCCCCCTTCCATTCCAAGTAGGCGAGAGTTTCTCCAACGCCCTTCGATTCCATGTGGTGGCACCCAATGCTGTAGCAGTACAAAGTTTCCAAGAAGGTACGGGCGACGACATGTGAGGAGGATATTCTTCACGAGTTGCTCAATGTAACCGCCAGCGCTCACCTTCAGTCCGGGGTCCACGAAGAAAATATTGGTCTTTCCATTCCAGGTACGTCCGTCCATACATCAAAACCAAGCTGCTTGACGTTACTGCGGTGAAGAATGATTTCCTAAAACCGTAGCGACGTTGTCGAGCTGCTCGATGTGGACGCTCCAGACTTGAGAAGTACCTGGTCTCCAGGCTAGGTACCCATGGGTGACAACTAAAGAAGTTTTCGCCAGCTGTTTGGAGGTGACAAATGGGGGGGAATTTTATTCCCAAAGATCTTCTCCAGTCAGGCTGCGACTGGAGATGACCTCATATTTTGGTGTACATGAAGGTGATGGGCGAGGGCCAGCTCCTGCTTATCGAGGAACATCTTGGGTATCTTCCGCCCTGGTACTCGTATCCACATCTCTCTGCAAAACTTTGCTGATCTCGGTCGAAATGGTCCTTTTTTTTTGGCCCCCCCCCCTGTATATCCAGAGGCTCTTCTTGCCTGCTTCCTCTCACTTCTGATTGTTCTCTATCTCTGAGTGCATTGTTCCTGCGAGATTTTGATATCGACGCAAGTGCCGCATATTGAGGATAATGCGGGGGAGGGGTCTCAGTGCACTGCAGACCCTTTTCTACGTGCTCTTGAGTGACGAAAGTGTTACTTTTCTCCAACTGCCATCTCATTTTTCTCGCACATGGTGAGGACCGTCTTTGGAGGTGCATGTACAGTTTGCTTCCAAATATCCAAGGTAAGCGACACAAGGTTCAAGGCAAGCGACAACCTTGTCAAAGAAGTTTAGTTTCCTAGGTGATAAACTCAAAGAGGGTAATGTCGTGTAAATTACCAGATGTTCAGCCAATTCAGGTCATGACAACTTGCTACGAATTAGCGCCCGCGGAGCTGGGCTGCTTATCCCTAAGAAGGAATTTTCCGACGAGGCATTAATCTCAGCTCTGAAGGAGATACGCAAGAAGACGTGAGTTCTCTTCATATCGCATTGGCGATTGGTTCACTAAAAGTAATGAAACATACTCCACAAGTGGAGTTTGCGATAAATACTGAGTTAGATTCACCGAAAGGAATGAGATAAGGCGAAGATTTAGAAGCTGCAACTTTAGAGGCATAGTGGCAGCGAATAATTTGGTACTCTGTCGAAATGCTGTCAGGGTGCCATATAGTTGGAAAACGGCCAAAAAATAAAACGAAGGGATAAGCGGCCAAACCTGCCCAAGAAAACCTTCGTTTTTCATCACTGCAGAAAAGCATTTTTGAACGAGTGCCAATAACCGCTACGGTAGGTACGGCTGCAATATGTACCCATAAATCCATGCGCCACCGCGGCTGATCATATCAATCCCTTCGCATCGTATTTTACTTAGCAAGAATCAGTACGAACATCAGGCACGGCTGTCCATTTGTGGGCAGGTGGGCGCGGTGGGCGTCCGAGTCGACATATTGCAACTTGACTGGGCGTTTTAAGGGTATGTTCTTTTGAAAAGGCGCTGGGCAGCGCCAGGGGCGCGGATTTCCATCCTGGCTTACAATCCCACTCGTCCTAGAGTTTATCGTGCCAGCTGCCTTTGAGCTGTTCAACCAAAGACTGCCTTTATACCTTTTAATAGTCATCTCACACTCTCAGAACGGCGACATTGCTTTACGGATAGAGCACTTGAAGCTCGCTCGCATGAAAGCATACATATTTACGCATTAGTTTTTATAAATGCCATCAAAAATATGCTTTATAGATACAAGGAGGAGATGTTGGTGTTTCAAGATATGGTCCGTGATGTGCCCTACACAGAACTCACACATGCCGCATTCTGGGTCGAATTCATTGAACGGCATCAAGAGGTATTCATTATTTTACCTATTTTTCCAATAATAAGAAGTCATCTGCACAAACCAGCATATCTGCTAGGGATGACCTGACCGCTAACTGACTTTCAGCCAGAATCTTTCATTCAAGATTCTGGCTGAAAGTCATCATGGGATAGGCGATCCGAGGTCGAACCAAACTTCACGGTTACTTTGTGGTGCTTCGGCTAGTTATCTGGAGATCAGCCAGCCCCACGTCATATCCTGGCAACCTACTCGTGGACATGCCATTAGCCAAGAACGGTGGCAGAAATGAGTCGCATTCCTCTGAGCGCAAGGGGACCAGCAAGGGTGCACTGAGACGGCCATGGAATGAAAGGAGTTTCAGTGGGGTAGGACTGAGACATGCGCAGTAGGGCAGTTTGGAGACAAAGTGTACACTCACAGCCGAAGGTCCTGGTCCTTATCATATGCGGGATGAACGGGTCCGCATCTGCAGTAGCGTGTCGTTTCCTCCCTTCAAAGTACACGGAGACGGGGCTTTAGGGCAGTGATAAACAGGTGCGGTCTCCTAACTCCGCCCACGCTGCCATTCGAGCCACACTCTTAACCATAGCCAAACGCACCGACACACTTTCATCATCATTCCCATCCCGTTTCCGTGAACTTTTGAAACGCGGCAACATTCACGCTACTGCAGCTACGGAACAATCAACCTTCCAAGTGGCAGAGACCGTGCTCGGAGCTGAGTCTACAGTTCGTTTCTAACTATAAGAAGGCTGTGCACATCCTAAAACACAGTTGTATTTGACAGTTCTGGTTGTAAGGCAGTTTCATTATGAAGCTGATATGGCATCATGCCGTTGAACCCAGAGGTAATTTGGAGAATCCCCTAGCGTTTTCATCCGTCGCAAAGTTTGATCAGCAGTTTCAAGTAGGCAGGCAAACGCAATTGCGTCACGCCTACGCGTAAACTACCATGCCTTTGTATCT